TTTAGGGTACCTCCCACCTGGAGGAAGCCCAGGGATAAGACCCAGGACACGCTGAAGGGACTAGGTATCTAGGCTATCCTGGGAATGCCCCAGGACCTCCTGGAAGAACTGGAGAAGTATGTGGAAAGGGAAGTCTGGGAGTCCCTACTCAGACTGCTGCCTCTGTGACCCGGCCCTGATAAAAGGGAAGAAGATAGATGGATGAATCCAAAGGCCAATCAGCTCTGCCATCATTTTCTGGCCAATGTGTAGGGCCAATTTTACCCCAAACCTTTAAGAAAGCAGTTTAGTCATGTTTAGTGCAGTTATCTCTTCCCAAAAAAATATTGGCCTCAGCTGTAGGCCAATATTTTTCATGAATATACAAAAGCAGGATACGAAACAATACACTACAATTTCTCAAACCTGATGCGAAAGTACCTGAAAGAACGTACAATATTTCTTCTTTAAAGTATCAGTATCCCTTTATTCTCCGGTTAGACAGTTAGCACTTTAGGCTAGCTTCTTTGCGCACTTATGAAAGAGCCGTTCATTCAGTCGTGCCCGGTTTTGTTTGGTTTTGACACGCCGTTATTCAATCTATTCCGACCTGGCAGAGACCCAAAGCAAACTTTCACATCAGAGCCTGTAAGTCCACCGTATGAAGTAATAGTAAGTATTTTCATTTACCTGTTGCGGTTGGAGCCAAGTTCAGGTCTGATCAAGTTGCATTCAGAAAGAGGGGCTTTGTCAAATCAAAACATGACATTTTTATAATTAAATTGTGCTATGAAAGTCTATAAAAGACTTTAAGAGAGGTTTTGACATTTAGAAATTAACCGTAGTCAATCAGCAATAGAAGGATTAAGAGGAAAATATGAGACAAAATGGATCATGATCAGTCAAGTGGTGAATTATCAGTATAGTCTGTATAGTGTTGACTCAGGCTTATGTGATTGTGTGGAGGGTTATGCAACGGTGAAGAGTATGTTGGTTTACACAACATGCACTATTTACTTAGCGATCGTTCCATTAATGAGCTGTAGAAAACCATTTATCTGTGCTCATTGTTGTAGTATTAGTGAGATTTTTATTTCCCAACCCGGATTTTGGTTTGGTGGATTTGGTGTCTTAGTGGAGTGTATAAGGTTAAATCTCAGGTGTGCTTTTATAGATTTATTGAAGCCTTCTTCCTGACATGAGCATTTTCATGTTTAGTACAATAATGATACTGTCTCGCTGGAGTAAGAGTTCACATTCCTAATCCATCAGGGAAGAAAGTGCCCTGAGCCATACCTCAGACACAGGATTAGTGACTCTATATCCAGTACATACTGTGTACATACTGTGTACTATATATACAGTATGTATATATAGTACACAGTATGTATATATAGTACACAGTATGTATATATAGTACACAGTATGTATATATAGCCTTGTTGCTAATTTAAACTTTCAAATGTCTTGCTTCAGTGCTTCTATGTACACTAGTACATGTGGTCATTAGAGTCCTTGTCATGACATGAACGTTGTAGTAAATGTTGGAGTTAGTTGGGTCAGGTTGGATTCTTCCAGGCCTATTCAACCATATCAGGCCCTCCAAATGTAAAAAAAAAAAAAAAAAAAAAAAACACGAAAAAAAAACTGCTAGTTGTCTTATGAAGAATTTAATATTTTGTTTGTAACAAAAGTAAATAGTAGTTGTTTTTATATCATCATTACTGATTGATCTAATTATTTTGTGTTGGGAAACAACAGTTGTGCACCTGTCCTGCCCAGAGGCCATGGCCTATGGTAAAATTTTTGCATTATCGGGATAATGATATTCAGTTGACATTTCAACAAAACATCAGGAAAGTGCTAAAATACCTGGAAATGTCATGGTCGAGGTTCCAGACTGGCTCAAACGTGAATGGAACATCAAACTGACCACAAAAAGGGCAGAAATATCACTCGACTAATCAGTTCATTTTATTTTAAATCAGCTCTATTTTGTGTCAGTTTTAATCTTTCAAATTATTAGATGATAGGTTCATCTATTCATCTGTCATCAGTGATATTCTAGTTGTCTCTTGTTTTGATCCTTTCTGCACTCTCACTTTTTCACAGTTTGAATAAGACAATGTGAAAGGCCAAAAGTAATGTTCTGCATTAACTAGAAACACTACTCAGGAAGCTACTTGGATGAGAGGCAAAACAAAAAGTCAGGATCAAGCATAATATTTGTGGCAGACCTTCTTGTCAAAGCCTGATCTCTTCAGATCTCTGGAGATAAGCAGGGCTGGGCCTGGTTAGTACTTGGACGGGAGACAGCTTTGAAAACCAGGTGCTACTGTGGAGCTGGAGCTGTTGTTGTGTCCTTAGGCAGAAGACCTCACCCACATTGGCTAGTATAACTGTGGTGTGCGCGTCAGCCTTGCTTCTGTCAGTTTGCTGGATAGCTGTGATTACAATACTACTAATACTGCTTACCATCACAGAGTATGAAGTGAATGACTAAAGAAATGTAATTGTCCAGAAAAGCACTATATGCATTGAATTATTATCGCATTATTAACACAGGTCAAGCAGTAAATTATTCCATGTGAATCCTGGCTGGTTCATACATGTGCCTGGTGTGTGATGGTAGGTCTCTCTCAGTTCTTCTGTTCACTCCTCGAGCTGCTCTCTTGTCTTTGGATGAGAGAAGCACAGTGTAACACAGTGAGGACATGGCACAGACTCCCCCTGGCCGTCTGCACATAACCCCAGCATGAATCATGTCTAATACTGGGCACAGGAGGAGAGGGTGGTCCAGCGGAGGAAAAGGTTACTCATCCCTGTAATGGACTAACTAACTTCCAGACGTGAGACCTGTTTGCCTAGGCCCGCAGATTTACACAAGTGGCAGATGAAGCCTGAATAGTCGTTAATGTGGCTGGATGTACAGTAGCAGGGTTTGACTTCGCATGCGGTTTTGGATGGAAAATCGGATGGACTCTGAAATGGTGTTGAAGATGTTTTGGGGTGTTGTCATAGAAGTGTGGTTTGATTTCTGTCTCACATTCAGGACATGTGTTTTAATAAACGACTCTAAAATGGGAACTGGGCAGCAACTTTGGGCAGTAAAAGCACAAATTAATGGGTTAGCAAGGTAACTTCATGATGTCCCGGTCACTATAAAGCTGGATAAATTTGTATCGGGGTAGATCTCTATGGTAACATGCCCTAAACTCATAATCTGCTCCGGACCAGGTTTCGATACCGATTTCAATAATCTAGCTTTATCTGCCGATACCCAATATCAACCGATACCAGAGGAGAGGCTGAAAACATTTACTTTATTAAACCTAAAATAAAATAAGACAAAACAAAGGTGACAAAAATCAAATATTGTGAGACATTCAACACAACAGTTTATATGTCAAATCAGGATATCAGCTAAACCGATATTTGGACGCTGATTTCCAATCTAGTATTTTTTTCAGTATCAGCACTGATATATGATACCATTATCCCTACCACCTTGTCAATGCCCAATCTCATCTGACCACAGAAGTTATGCGAGGCCATGCCTGGTTAGTACTTGGATGAACAAGTGCTGAAAGACTAGTTCTAGTGTTTCTTCCCACAATGGCGAGTATGAATGCGCTGTATGTGTGACGAAAGAATAATCAGTGGTGTAGTGGGGAACAACAACAACACCAGCCCAGTAAAAATCTGTAACATTTGATGTTTTCTTTTTACTCAAAATGATGCAGAATCATGTTATTAACATTAATGCCGTTCATAATCACCTACAGAACAAAAATCATAGGCTGCAACACATGAACCAAGACTGAACCAGGACTAAACCAGGAAACTGAACCAGGACTAATCTTGGACTTGAGAGTGAGAGAGAGAACCCCGAGACCACAGAGCAGGCTGTCCACAAATCGCGACCGGCCACGACTGCACTTAGCCCCGTGAGGCGGGGAGCTCTGCGCCAGTCTATTCTCCTGCAGTCACCCGACAGTCTACAGGAGCTCACCTCCGGGCCTGGTTTAGTTCTGGTTCATTTCTGGATTATTCCTGATTTACTCCTTCTGGTTCAGCCCTGGAATCAGTCCTGGTTCCCTCATGTGGCAGGTCACTAGAGGACAGTACTGCAGATATCATGAGCCTATGCAGGTTGTTTTCACCATTGCCAGTAGCTCCAGTTTGACATTTAAGTTGTACCGTATTTTCCGCACCAAAGGTCGCGCTCATAAGCCTCCACCCTCATCAAAAAGATTGCTCGCCCCGCAATCCAGAGCACCCTATACACAAATCCACTCAGGTGTCCCAGTATGACTTCGGGAAACTACAAAGCCGCACCACCCGCAGCGCACGCAAACGCGCACAGAGCAGACAGCGACACTCATCACTCCACGCGGACGAGGAATGGAACGGAGGAACAAACCATAAAAGCGAGTGCAATGTGCCACTTCTAGCCACAACTGAACAACAATCCAGCGGTCCCAGACAGCACCCTCCCTATGCGCCACAACTGAACAAAGCCGAGACAAACTGAACGCGCCAAAGTCCGACTGACCCATCAAACTGTTGTGTTTCGTTTAAAGTCCGGTGCGGTTTGTTTGTGAAAAAAGTTCGAAAATAGACCATTTAATGACAGTGCGCCTTATAATCCAGAGCACCCTATAGTGTGGAAAGTACGGTAGCTATTTTATATTTTTATATCTCACGTCGGGGGAAGTGGGTGGACGGCGTACCCCCACGTACCACGCCCACTACAATCTCAGAATAATACTGTAAAGTGCTTTAGGTTTCTTCAAAGGCACTATATAAATCCAATGCAATATGTATGTAAGACAAGAAGACCACTCTTTGACCACTCAGAGGTGAGGAAAGCTGCGTCAAACAGGATGGTTCTTATCGCAACCTGTCTTTGGAGAGAACATGCAAACGCCACACAGAGAAGAACTGAAGATGATATTGTGAAATACAAACTTCAAGTATATACTGTTTTTGTGTACTGATGAAGTGGTTTGTGTTTGCAGGAGTACAGGATTCCCAGCTGGAGAAGGTGCTTACAGTGTCTGGAGAGGGCACGGTGAGCAGTCCAAACTTCCCCCACACTTACCCCAGGAACACAGCGCTGGTGTGGAGGCTGGTGGCCCCCAACCACATGAGGATCCAACTGCACTTCGACCCACGCTTCGGACTGGAGGACCCGGAGGACGGCATATGCAAGTAAGGACTTCATTTCTTACATTTTACACTAGTTTAGGGATTTCCGATAAAAGATGTGTTTACCAGTGGTCGAGAGTGATTGAGAAATGGGTCAAAAGGATCAAAATGAAAATGTTGTGTGCTGTTTTTATTTAATTATGTTAGCATGCTAGTTCTTTTCAGTATCACCACAACAGCCAAACTCCGCTCTGTGTGTACATGCTTATAAATTCATTGTGGTGAATAATTAGGAGGCTTGGAGCGCTTTCGCAACGTGAGGAACAAGTTGGGACCACTGCTGTTCTAGTTCTGTTTTTTTTTTTTTTTTTTTTTATGTTTTTAAAGGGCCCATATGACACTATTTTCTGATCTATGTTACCAGACCGGGAACAGACAGGGACTGAGACCAGGACTGAGACCGGGACCGGACCAGAATTGAGACCAGGATTGAGCCCGGGACCAGGACTAGGACCAGACCAGAACTGAGACCAGGACTGGGACTGAGACCAGAACTGAGACCAGAACTGAGACCAGGACTGAGACTGGGACCAGGACCAGGAGAGAGACCGGGACTGAGACCAGAACTGAGACCAGGACTGAGACCGGGACCAGACCAGGACTGAGACTGGGTCCAGATCGGGACCACACTGGGACCAGACTGGAACTGAGACCAGGACTGAGACCGACAGAGACCAGGACTGAGACCGGGACTAGGACCAGGACCAGACCAGAACTGAGACCAGGATTTAGACCAGGACCAGGACTAGGACCAGACCAGAACTGGGACCGGGACTGGGACCAGAACTGAGACCAGAACTGAGACCGGGACCAGGACCAGAACTGAAACCGGGACCAGGACTGAGAGCAGGACCAGGCCAGAACTGAGACCAGGACCAGAACCAGAGCTGAGACCGGGACTGAGACCAGAACTAAGACCAGGACTGAGACTGGGACCAGGAATGGGACTGGGACCAGAACCAGGACTGAGAGCAGGACCAGGGCAGAACTGAGACCAGGACTGAGACCAGGACCGGGACTGAGACCGGGACCAGACCAGGACTGAGACCGGGACTGAGACCGGGACTGAGACGGGACTGAGACCAAGACCAAACCCGGGACTGAGACCGGTACCAAACCAGGATCAGACCAATGACTGAGACAGGGACTGAGACCTGGACTGAGCCAGATTTAGTCCAGGTTCAGTCTTGTTTTAGTCCTACTTCAGTCCTGGTTCAGTCCGTATGCAGCGCAAAAGTCCAGCATCGCAGTTTAGGTCACAGAAACAAGAAACGGCCGTTTAGAAAACTGAAAAACAAATCGTTATCCGTTTTTTTCATTTTGGTTTTGGCGACAAATAATGAAGAAAATTGTTTTTTTTCTTTTTCTTATTTTTGGTTTTGTTTTGAAAATGAATGAAAGAATTACACATAGATTCTCCAGGTCTGTTTTTAAGGACATAGCAACATTTTTAAACACCTTAGAGCTCACAGGAGTCCATTTTGTGGATCGCTCTCTCCACTCTCACTCTCTGTACCACTGAGCTGTGTTCATGTCTGACCCATGCTGACCAGTCCGCTCCTTTCTCCGGCCTGCGTTGGTTGTAGTGCGTTTTAAAAGGTTTAGTATTGATGTGTGCTCATTTGTGAAATTGCCTTCAGTCTGCCCTGTCAGCTGCTGAATGTGGACAATTCTACACCGGAATCATTTGTTTTCCCAGAATAATAAGTATCGCATCCTTTCACTTTTACTTTCCTAAATGCTGTTTCTATAATCTGGTTCAAATGTTAATCTAAAAGCGTATCCTGTAAATGCTCTGTTTTTATGCAGTCGTCCAATTTCATTAGGCTTGCCTCAGTCGCCATTGACTTTAAAGGGAAATCCTGAGAATGCCGGATCAATGTGTCACTGTGCATTCCACTGCTGTTGTCAATATGAGACTGGACTGTTTAGCATAAGGCAGCCCCGAGGAAGAGGAGGAGGAGGAGGGGGAGGAAGGACTGGCTGGCTGGTTGTGTCTTTAGGGCCCCCTAATGGACGAAATAGTGAACAGCACTTGCAGCTAGACAGTGTAACATTACATAATATTGTGTCACAGTCACATTGTCAGTTCATCATTTGTAGAGATCATGACGATGTGCAGCTGTTTCACAAATAAAATGCAACACACAACATGTCAAACAAATGTATCTTCCAAAATACAGTCATAATAATGAATGAATAATGATTAGTTTGATCTAAATCACATATTTGATTTAAATGTGAATGGCTCTTACTTAATATTACACTATAGATTTGTATTTCACACTATGTAACTTTTCTGATTAGGGGTTTTGATTATCTCTCTTCCTAAAATATTGCTTAGTTTTTTTTGTTTTGTTTGTTTATTTGTTTCAGAAATGCAGCTTTTAAAAAAAAATAAATAAAATAAAAATACTAATTAAAAAAAAATATATACTAATAGTATTTTTAAGGTTTGCTGTGGTCTAAAATATGACCTACTCCATGCATTCAGGACTTCCTAATCACTCAGTTCGTAAGCACCTTTCACAACTTTCAGAGGCCAGAGTGGAGTTTTACCATCATGGTAAAGCTAACAACAACTAGCAAGCTAACTCACACTTCCTGATTATGACGTTCATCTTTAAAATTAGAAATAGACAGTACACAGCTGACTTACTTTGACCTCAAGAGCTGCTTATTCTGTGGTAAGACAAATTTTGCTCAAATATTGCAGTAATGCCTTTAAAAAAGACCCTGTTCGTTGTAATAATGCATGTGTCAAGGTATTTTTGAGTTATGAATACATCCACAATGAAAAGAGAAAAAAAGTTAAAATTAATAAGTTTAATAACATATTGTGGAACATTCCAAAGCAATAACATCTGCATCGTACAGGCACATGAACCAACACACTGAAAAAGTAACAGCAGTTATAGTTGTATGAGTAAAATAAGTAGTAGTAGTAGTAGTAGTAGTAGTAGTAGCAGTAGCAGTAGCAGTAGTTGTTGTTGTTGTAGTAATTACAGCTGAACGATCTATCGTTATTGACTGAAAATTGCAATTTCAGGCAACAGGATTTTGGAAGTGTCAAAGCCGTGGTTTTTTGCAGTGCTCCTAAAGCCCAATTTATGGATTTATGGATCTGCATCGAGGTGTACAGTATGCGCCACAAAGTAATTCACCAACACAACACGAGGAGGTAGGATTTAAACCTGGCATTCATGTAAAGTTTAACATGAACCATCGCCAACGTGACAGAAGCACAGAACAGACTCATCATCCTCTGTCACAGAAAGAACCTTCGTGTCCATTAGTCCGACAGAAGCTGACAGCATCAGAGCACAAGGAGTCAGCTGTGTTTTTCAGCACTAATAGTTAGATTAGCAATGTGGTTTTAAATTTTGTTTCTTGTAAAACCTAAACAACTGTGCACAAAGCTGCATTAAACACATTACTCAATGCATATTGAAAGAAAGGAAATTGTAGTACAGGAAATGTATGTAGAGCGGTGGTAGAGAGGACCAATCACAGCCCTTACTGTCTACATCGCTTCCCCTGCTGTCTGCATCATTTTGATGCGTAGTTATGGTATGATGTAAGTTTCTGTGATGTTTGTAAATGTTCATGTGCATTGAAACTTTATTTGAAAAAAAATCGTGGATATCGCAATATCTGCCAGAAAAATTACAATTCAGTTTTTTTCTTAAAATCGTTCAGCCCTAGTAGTAATAGTAGTTGTAGACCCTGTTTTACTTGCAGTTCTTGTATTACAGGTGTTTAAAAAGTCAGGTACACCAGATCATCAGACCCAACAGACCTGGGCACTGAACAGCTCCTGGGTCACATACAGCCTTTTGCTTGACTCTGACCAGCCTGTTTAAGCTCATTTGGAACTACAAAATAAATTACCTCAGGCATGGACTACAGCTGCATTGCTTTTATTTTATATTACATTTTTTGTAAGGCAGCCTCACTTTTTCATTGCTTAGTCATAACATATACTCTTACAAAACAATGCTATTTACTGCTTTTTATAAAGAAATACAATTAATATTATGCAGGATTGAGTGCACAATATGTTCTGTTTCTTATGTGGCAACATGGAAAAAATAATTGCCCACCTTTGGGTTAGAGTAAAGTTGGGATTGGGTTAGAGGTTAGGGTAGAAAAATTGATGGATTACTTTCAACCACAAAAGTACTCATTTCCCATCTGACCCCCAAATCCGTGTACCAGACCGGTCCCACGTCCTGCCCTGTTCTCTCAGCTCGTCTTCGGCCTGTCGCTGACGTATCCTCCATTATAACCCACAGTTTAACCTGTACATTTGTCTCCGCCGTTGTGCTGAGTATGTGAACTACACCACAACATGATAAGGTAACATGATAGCGGGTTAGCTGACCTCTGCGGCGGCGGTGGGCTCGCTGACGGATGAGGCTCCAGGTGTTGCCGTGGAAACCGGGTGATGAAAAGTTTCAGTGTTGACTCTTTTTTCTTTTTGTCATTTACAAATCTGTACATGTAAAGCGAGATAGAGGCAATAAACGGCAAAAACATGCTTTTAACAGGTCATGGAGGTCAGTGCCACATCTGCCCCTCCTTCTATATCCCTCTATCTTTATTTCTATCTTTCTCTCTCTATCTACACCTGTTCATCTATCACCATGTTTATCACTCTCTCTCTATATATTCATCCCTATGTACTGTATATATTAATCTGTGTCCCACTCTCTTTATTTCTCTGTCTCTTTATCCATCAATATATGTGTCTCTCTTTTCTCTTCCTCTATCTGCATCACTGTCTTTTGTTTTCTCCACTCTCCCTCTATCCACTTCTGTGTATACCCCCTCTCTTCACTCCCACTCTCTCATCTCCCTCTCTCCTTCCCCCTTCTTTCTCCTTTCTCTCTCTCTCTCTCTTTCTCTTTCTCTCTCTTTCTCTCTCTCTCTCTCTCTCTCTCTCTCTGTCTCTCTCTGTCTCTCTCTCTTTTTCTCCTTCTTTTCCACCCCCTTCTTTCTCC